AAGGCTACATCCGTTGCAAAAGCCGCAGCATATATTCCACAAGGCGTACCATCCGGTTGCGTTTGAACTTTTTCAAACCTTATGTCCGTAGATACTACTTGCAGAAAACGAGCTCTAATATATTGTCTTTCTTTCGACGCCATTTTATCATATGTACAGCCAGGTATGCTGTCATCAGGAAGTAAGATATTAAGGAGACTCCACTCCGTAAAATAAAAGTAGACCCATTTTAGGTTTTGAGTTAATTTTCCGATTCTGATGAGTCTTCTTCTTAGTTAATGGCTCCAACCTCTCAGGGAGCGGAGGCAATACGGCCAGATCACGTCTTATAATGTTAATATAGTCTATATAGATGAACTGATGAATCTCTTGAAGTGGAGTTGGCGCCGAGAGACGATATCTTCGCCTCGGATAACAAAACCTAAGAAGGTTGTATTTTCTCACAGGGGACAAGCGGGGAACGAAGTTCGCCGCTGGGACTGGGAGGGGGAAATGTCCGTGCCGTTAGAGACCCTCTAATCAGAGTCGCGAAATAACGTCAATAAGGTTAGGTCGGCGACTATTTTTCAGCAAAACCCGGAAGTAGCGATTATAGTACATTGTGTAACAATGGGGGAAAGTTGCTCAGCAAAACCCGGAAGTAGCGATTATAGTACATTGTGTAACAATGGGGGAAAGTTGTTTATTGTGGGGACGCCCGTGTCGACCTATAAACAAATATGTCCCCACTGTTACACATAGAATTTTTCTTTGTGTAGGGCACATTACGTGCACGCGTGAAGAAAAATTGTGATACATTAACACCTAATACATGTGAATCTAAATACAGTTATCAGAAAGAAATTACATTATTATATTTTTTAAATTAATACTGTATTTCATAAAATTATATTTTCTAAAATGACTGGTTGTTCTGCGCCAGACTGCAATAATTCTGTAAAAAAGGGTTATATTATGAAAGTCTTTCCTCGTAATCCTGAAAAAAGAGCAAAATGGGCAGCGAATGTAGATAGACTTAAATTTGACGCCATGACTATTTCCGGTTTTTGCTGAAAAATGTCAGCACCAATCAAATTTGGAAACGTTATTTCGCGACTCTGATTAGAGGGTTTCTACGTGCCGTGGGTCGACGCAAGCGCATCGATAGGTTGCCCGTGAGAAAGCGCCGCGAAAATTTGAATCAAAGAAATCGAGCACAATTAAGCGAGGGAGAAGCTTACGAAAAGGCGAGCAATTTTGGCGGAAGGGCGTTGAGTGCGAGAATAATAGAGGAGTAAGGATCCTGAAAGGGCTCCGAGATGAGACTATGTAGGGCTGTTCTAAGAGGGATAGCGTGTGAGGCAGTAAGCGGGCAGTGGAAAATAATGTGCACTAGGTCCTGGATTGGGGCTCCACAGGAACAAGAGGGATCATCAACAAGGTTTTTTCGGAAAAGGCTATGATTAAGGTTGTAATAGTTGCTTCTAAGACGGTTAATGGTGACAATCATGACACGAGAGAGATGAGATTCTTGAAACTAGGATTTCTTGCGTTTCTTATTGTAGCAGTTGTCAAAGTAGAAGCGGCCTTTATGCGAGGCTGTGTTCTCCAAGTAAAGATCGAAAGCGCGCTCAAGTTGCCTCTTAGGTATAGCGAACATGTCCGAGTACGGAAGCTTAAAGTTTGAATCGATACCCTCTCTGATAGCTCTCTTGGCAAGCTGATCTGCTATCTCGTTACCTTCGATACCACGATGAGATGGAATCCAGATGAATGTGACAAGAATATCGTTTGACTTGGCTTCATCAAGGAGGGCTCTGATGTAGGAAATGATGTAGTTGTTAGTTTTGTTGCGGTACCCCTTTAATGTATCAAGAACGCTTTTAGAGTCCGACACGATGATTGAGCGTTCCAAGTTGTTGTGTAGGACGAATAAAAGAGCATTATATATAGCCCATGCCTCAGCTGTAAAGATCGTGGCGTCGGGGTGGAGTTTACACATAAAATTCAGTTGTAGCTGGGGTGAGTAAACGGCAGATCCAACAAAGGTATTGTCATCAACCTTAGAACTGTCGGTATAAAAAATCGTTGCATCCTTAAATTGTGCTTCAAAAGTCTGGCAAAAGACTAGTTGAAGAACGTGAGGAGGGATATCTGATAGGTTGTCAAGAATATTACGTTCTAAGGTGAGATAAGACGTGGTAGTAATGGTAGAGGTAAAAGAGTTTTGGAAGGAAGGGAGAGTCGGGGTAATATGGAGAGAGTGCTTGTAGAGCCATATGCGTTTAAACACCAGCGCAGCTGGGAAATTATTACTGAGATAAGTAAGTTGTTTAGAATGTGGGAGAGAATCGCACAGGTAATGGATCTTGATAGAGACCGGATGGTCTCGTATCGAAATTACTTTAAGAAAGTACTTAGCTGTGAGCAGCTCAAATCTATATCTTAAAAGCGGGATCTTGGTTTCTGCATGAATAACATTGATCGGAGTGGAGATATGATATCCGCAAGAAAGACGGAGAGCCTGATTTTGAACTCGCTGTAATTTTGCTGTAGATTGATTATCTCTAAGAGCAAAGATGAGAGCAGCATATTCCAATGCAGCACGGGTCAAGGCTTTGTAGATATTAATAAGGAGTTGAGGATGAGCACCCCACCACGTACCTCTCAATGCAGACAAAACTGAGTTGATGCGTCTACCTTTAGAGATGATATATTCTATGTGTTTGTTTCCAGTAAGTTTAGGATCCGAATAAACCCCCAAGAATCTCACACACGAAGAAGGGTATATAGTAGTCTCTTGAAGAGTGATATTAATATTATCAAGATTGAGCTTATGTTTTTTAGAAAAAACCATGAGTTGAGTTTTACTAGGAGAAATTTCGAGGTCCCTTCCGCACAGATAGCGTTGAATGTTAGACATAGAGTTATTAATCGATGATAGAGCAGAAGCTAAATTCTCACTAGAGGAATATATGACGATATCGTCAGCAAATTATAGGAGAGAAGTATCTTGATGAAGAGCATCGTTTATATATCTAAGATATATGTTAAAAAGGGTAGGACTCAGAACAGAGCCCTGCGGAGTACCTTTGCGTGAGACGTAAGGGGGAGAAAGGGAGCCTTGAATGACAAACTGAATATTACGCGAAGAGATAAGGTTCTTAATGAAGTTAACAAAAAGAGGAGGGAAGCCCAAAGAAATAAGATCCTGAATTAAGATATGTGGAAGAACATTATCAAACGCTGATTTAATGTCTAAGAAGACCGCTATAGTATTTTGTTTCCTAACAAAGGCAGCGTGGATGTGAGCAGTAAAGGAAATTAAATTATCTTGACAGGATCTGAATTTCCGGAAACCAAACTGATTGTCCGGAAAGAGAAAAGGTAGAGGAGAAGAGGGGGATTCAGAAAGCCAGTACAATCTGTTCAAAATCATACGTTCAAAGATTTTGAGGATGCACGAGGTGAGGGAAATGGGTCGAAACCCCGTCCCCTTAAGGTTAACCCTTATTGACCCAATTTGTCCGTTTTTGTCCGTCAATTTTAAGCACGGACAACTTTGTTATTTATGCTTAAAAAAATCTGAAAATTTGTAGGCGGGTATTTTCAAGTGTGCTCTTTCAGAATCCGGCACGAAAATTTTGAAAAAACCACCCCTTCCTACCCTATTTTTCAATTTAAAAAAAAAACATGATTTTTTTAAGGTAACTTTTTTTTTTAAATCGTATTTTCGATGCGAAAGAGGTCTTGGCGATAGTTGAAACCACGAAAACTCCGGCTCAAAATGTCTAAATAATAAAGTTATACACACAAAAAATTCATTTTTCATCATAAAGGGGTTGTGCGACCACACCTAAAATAACGTTTTTACAAAAAATTGCTATTTTACGGATTTTTCTGAAAAAAAATTGTTTCGGCTTTTGAAAACAGGTAAAAATGGGGGAAAACATATCACAGATAGTAGAAAACATCTTTTCTTTTGTTATCTAAGGTTAAATTTCGTTACCACCCCATAAAATAGCCTAAAGGGGTAAAAATCGGCAGTTTTTAAAAAATACTATTTGTGGTATCAAAAATTGCAAATGAATGTAGTTCTAAAAATTAGTAAAAGATTAGTTAGGTCGAAATTTTGAAAATCTGTAGAATTTAATTTACGTAGAGTTCTATTTCAATGATTTTTTGATAAACAGGCTCGACATTTTTGTATGTGCTTGCATATGGAACGTCTTTAGCCATTTCTTCAATACAAATGTTTCCAATTCTTACAGCGTGGAGGTAGACGTTTATAAAGAACCTTTTTTTTGTTTTTTATTTTTTGGTTTTTTGTTTTTTTTTTGTTTTTTGGTTTAATTTCCATTCTTTGTTTCTTTTTTGTTTTGTTTTTGTCTTTTTCGTCATTTTTTAATTTTTTTTTAATTTTAAATATGTTTATGATCGGAACATTTTTTGCAAATATGAATTTTGCAATTTGCACAAAATCTTTGTGTTCTTACCTTGCATAAATTATTTATACAAGTATCTTTTTTCGGCGATACGATCAGGTTATGCTTTTCACGCAAATTTTCATCTGATTTGCTTAGTTTGATGCTTCTTTGTAGACAACTTTCAATTTTTTGTAAACATATTTTACAAATATACGATTGACAGGTCTTACAGAAATTTCTAGTTTTAATTACACATTTTTCAGTGCTGCAAATATTGGCATTTTTCGAAGGTACTATATTATGTTCATTTGCAGCCGATGCCTCCTTCAAGTATTCTTCACATATAGCCAGCGCAGCGTCTTTAGTTTTGATGTAATTTTTTTTATCTCTTACAGTATTATATAAAACTGTTGCATTAGTAACAGAGGCCTGCAGAATTCTTACGAAAGGAATCCAAGTCCACTTCTTTGATCTTATGGAGGGTAGCACCCGATTACAGTGCTGATCATGCAGATCAACACCTCCCATAAATTGATTATATTTTGAGAAAGCATTTGGAAAATTCACTTCTTTTCTTGCACGTTCGTTTTTTACCTAACGTTTCATGGGCATTTGTGGAGAAACACCAGCTGCTGTTGATAAAATAGATACGTCTTTGGAATCGCGCGCAGTAATGAAGTTGAGGCCACTATTTTTATCATGCTTAGCCGCATGGGTTCCTTTGGGTGCATCTTTATCAATGGAATTTTTTTCTCGTATTCGATCAGAGCGGACTACTCCAGTCGCTCGCAAACCTAAGTTTTTTAGATGTACCATGAGATCGGGACAGCAAAATAAGTTGTCAAAATATAAATGATACAAACAAAGCTTGCGAGGAGACGTATGTGTGAGAAGCTGGTTGAGCATCTGAATAACAACGCGACTTCCCATTGCAATTTTGCCTAATTTCAATCCTTTATCCGAATTTTTGCCACAGTAGACGTCAAAATCATAAACATATCCGTTTGCGTCGCAAATTCCCCACATTTTGATACCAAATCTAATGGGTTTGGATTTTATGAATTGCTTGATTGATAGTCTCCCAAAAAACTTTAGCATCATCTCATCCACTGACAGAGCTGTTGAGAAAAAACCATATGTTAGAATGTTGTTCCTAAAAATATCTAAAATTTGTCTTACCTTCCACACCTTGTCCTCATCATCTCTGTCTTCTGGTAAAGCATATTTCAATTTTGATTTGATGACCATAAATTTATTTCGGCTTATAGCTTGTACAACGGGTTCTGATCTTAACAGTGGATTGTTTGACCAATAGTCTCTTTGTGAAGGTAGTTTATTTATTGACGATAAAATAATTATTCCTATGAAAACTTTAAAATCTTTGTCAGTGAGAAGATAACCATTTACATTAGTAGTGTTACGTCCAAGCCCCAAGATTCGTTATTGGATAGGAAAATTTAGGAATCGAGGAGGGGGCACGGGAGGACGCAACTGACACCGCTCTTGTGGCAGACGCTTTAAGACGCGTGCCACAAGTCGGAGACGCAATAAGGTCACAGATATGGGTCAACGTCAGCGTGCGACGCTATTACCCAGTCCTGCGACTGTGTCTCCGTCGGTCCCCTTTTAGATCAAGGAACTTAATCCTTTTGATCAGGGATCGGACCGTGCGACTTAGTGGGATGAGGAATGAGTCGAGGGAGGTTCTGAGTAAATTACAGGAATAAACGTAAAACAAGATGTTTATTCTTAATGCATAGTTTACAATCTAAAAGTGAACTATTAATTAATCGAACTTAACATTTCTATAAATTATTTTGATATTCCTTTTTAGTTGACAAGATTTTTATTCTTAATGCATAGTTAACAATTTAAAAATGAACTATTAATTGTAATCGAACTTAACATTTCTATAAATTATTTTAATATTCTTTTTTAGTTGACAAGATTTTTATTCTTAATGCATAGTTAACAATTTAAAAATGAACTATTAATTAATCGAACTTAACATTTCTATAAATTATTTTAATATTCTTTTTTTGTTGACAAGATTTTTATTCTTAATGCATAGTTAACAATCTAAAAATGAACTATTAATTAATCGAACTTAACATTTCTATAAATTATTTTAATATTTTTTAATTGTGAGATACGGCTTGTATATGAATGATGTGTCTGATGAGGGAAAGGGAGATTGAGTGTTGAGGTATTCCTCTAAATCGAGGTATAACTCATTAATAGGAATATCTGGTTCGAAAGGAACGGGGGAATATGAAATGGGAAGGGGAGAGGGAACTGATTCACATTCTGTTAGATCGATGACAGGTATTGGTGTATCCTTTGAAGAAGGGTGTGTGGAAGATTCTAACAGTGTATGGAGGGACTCAAGAACTTCTCCGAAGGCTGTACGATCCTTCGGAGGTATTGGAGAATCAAAAAGAGGGTATTCTTCTATGAGATCGGATGACGCAGAAGGATCTTTAGAAATTAAGTCTGTTACGGGGATTGTGGTGGAAGATTGGTCCCTGGCCGATTTCTTCCGTTTCGGTTTTTGGACTTTACTTCGCTTCCGTCGTCCTGCGCGATGGTTATTGTTCCATACCATCTAAAAGTATATTTCTCTCATTAGGGGAGTTAGGAAGGAAAGGAAGAATTTAAGGAGAGAAAGAGAGAGAGAGAGAAAAGAGAAAAAAAAAAGAAAAGAAAGAATAAAGGAGAGAATCGCTCGAGGCAGCGGTTTCTGAAGCGAATCTGAAGAGTAAAGGAAAAGGGAGAATCGCTTGAGGCAGCGGTTGCTGAAGCGATCCTGAAAAAATAAAGAGAATCGCTTGAGGCACGAATGCTGAAGCAATTCGGAAAAATAAAGAGAAAGAGAGAATCGCTTGAGGCAGCGGTTGCTGAAGCGACTCTGAAAGTAAAGGGAAAAGAGTGTGCGTGAAGAAGAAAGGAGAGAGAGAGATACCGTAGATGGTCGTGCGAAATATAATAAAAAAAAAATAAAATTAGAAAGAAAATTTAAATTTCTACCTTTATAAAATACTGGAATAGAGTGGAATAGAGTTCCTTCAGCGACTGGAGGCCAGGTGGACAGTTCGTGGGTGGCTTCGGCTGGTTGATGGTTTTCACTCAATCGCGAAACTCCGAGGAGATTGAAATTTGGAAAAAACCGAATTTATTGATCAAATAAATTATTAATTGCCGGACAGTCAAACTGGCGAACTGCCGAACTTATAAATTTGAATCGAAGTTGAAGAGCCGAACTGTGAATCTGAATTGAAATGGCGAACTTCGAACTGGAGAATCAAAATTGAACCGCTTAACTGAGAAATCGAGATCGAACTGCGTGTGGGCATCGTGGAGGGCTAGTATTTATACTTACGGAGGGCAATATGCCCTTCTTTGTGTAATCGAATTTTGGACTTTGATCGGGATTGACTTCCGGGAAATGGAAAAATTTGGGTCAAATGATGTGTCGAATTTTCATTGGTCCTGGAATCGCGCGTGTAGCGTTGAACTCTGTTAACCCGAAGATGTTTTTCTATAAGATCCATGAGTGTCGGTTGACCTTTTGATCTCGCGACGTGGCTTATCATCTGAATTTGTCGGTTAAGACAAATTTCTTTTTTAATTATTTAGTAATTGTTTGTCGACGCTCACTCATTGATCTTCAAATTAGAAATGAGAAGCAGGAAGAAACGATATTATTTGTTTAAGTTTCTTCGTACTCCTTATTTAGTTAATCCTTATTATATTTCTAGCTTTTCTACGAAAGAAAAGATTCGTGGAGTCCCCCGGACGTAACAATTGATTGGTATATATAAAATCATTACAAATTAATATATATGGGGCATTCTTTGTCAACGGGACCCCCTTGCTCTCCAAAATTGGTTTGCGTTTCAATTAATAGTTATGGGCGAAAACTTTAGTTAAAAAGGAATACTTTTAAATGCCGAGTGGCTGTTTTTGAAAATCAAAATGGCGGATCCAATATGGCGGACATATTTTTAAAAAGTTAATGGATTCGCTTGAAACTTGCTACTCGGGGGTTTTTGGGGTCGCTGATTACGAATCAGAAGTCAGATTTCGAAAATTCAATATGGCAGATCCAATATGGCGGACGCATTTTTTTAAATTCGATCAATTTGCATGAAAATTGTCACTCGGGGATTTTTAGGGTCGCTGATTATGAATCTTACGTCAGTTTTCAAAAAGACAAAATGGCGAAGCCAAAATGAAGAACCATCTTTTTTTAAATTTGAAATCTTAGTTAAATTTTCAAAAATTTTTAAAAAGGTCTCTGTGCTTTACAGGGTTGACACTGTCATCATCTTAAAAATGATGCCCACATTATTTTTTTTTTTTTGGTTTAATTTTTATTTTTTTCTCTGTTTTTAATGGTTTTTTTATTTTTTTTTAATTTTTATTGATTTTTAATTGCCTAGTAGGAAATCGTTTTGCCGTTGGAAGAATTCGAATAGATTTTGATTAGCAAACATTTATTGCCTGTTACCGTGAAGGAATGACTTTTTTGAATCTGAGGAACAGCAGGAGCAGAATTAAATCTTGCATTCAATGATCTCTTGACTTTTTCGTATTCTACTTTGCGATAGAAAAAAACATTTATCTTTTCAAACCTATCCTTAGCCCAATCGTAAAGCTTAGAAGCAGTTGTTATTGCTTCTGTCGGTTTAGCTAAGAGACTAGCTCTCGCAGCTTCTCTTTTAAAAACAGCTCCGATGCCATCACATGCATTTTTCCCGTGAGCGGTTGCATGATAGTGCCAGTCAGCTTCAATACCAAAGTCCTCTTCGTGATGTGCCAAGTTGCAAATTTGGTATCTGTTTTTGAAATGCTGCTTAGCACCATCACTGAAGTAAATAATTTTTTTAACATTCAAGATTTTCTTCAATTCTGCAATTAAAAGGCGTTGAATGGTGTAGACAGCAGCTGTGTCATGTTGAGTGCTATCCGATAAATAAACAAAACTCTTGTGTCCCAATTTGGAATTCTCTTTAAAATAGCTAACTACAGTGAACACAGTGGACTGATCATTGTTGAAATGAAAAGCCTGAACCGCATCTTGAACGACAAACTTGTAATTTTCGACAAAATCTAACGTTACTAATACTTGATTTTCAGAAAGATTATTCTTCAGATCTTCAAAGTACTGGGCCTGCTGTTTTGCAATAAATGAATGTGACTTTAAATTTGCAAGCTTTTCACACAATTCTTCAACAAAGTCTTCAGAAGAAAGCAGATGAGTGTTTAAAGTGCATCTGTCAGTTCCTGTCCATTGACTAAATTGCACTTGATGGATATTGTTGTCTTGTAAACACTTTTCCAAATGTTTGGACAGCTCTTCAGTGTCTGGACAATTTTTGCACTCATCCAGATGACATGCATCAGTTGAATTTTCACACACAATTTGTGAGATACACTCTGTGGAATTCTTCATTGGTTTCTCAGACTCATTTGTCAGATTTTCAATGTTAATGGTATCTAACATCAAATTAAAATTATGGTGGTGAGTGCAAAGACATACTGCATGTGTTCCAGGACTTCCCATAAGTATACAGTGTTTGGGACGCAATTCCGCAAACTTACTAAAGCTTACGGGAAAATCTGGGTGTTCTTTCATGTACATTGTGAATCCAAAACCTTTTAAATCCAAATACAATAATCTTTTTTGTTTTAGTTCCCGTATGCCATTAACCTTGACTGATTTGACATCTTTCACTCCTGGCATTGTTCTGCTATTAATGTCGCTTTCAAAAAATTCGATAATTTGTTGCACCGTTGGTTCCGGTAATTTCTTTCCAGCTCTTACTGTAGTTTCCGCTAACACCCCTTTCGATGCTTTCAACTGGTTTAGCTTTTCTAACAAATTTTCTAGAGCAACCAAACTCCTTTGCGATTTTCTTAATACTCCAAGAATCTGGGAGAAGTGTTAGAATCGTTAACCTTTGTGGATCAAATAATCCTAAATTCGTAAATTTTTCTTTCAGTCCATCGAGCATTTCTTCAAG